CTCCCCCGCCCTCGGTGGCGGGGTTTGGACACTGGGGCTGCCGCCCCGCCTTTCAGCAGCAGCAGAAGCGGCCGGCTTCTCTGGACGCACGTGAAGCAGCGGGGGACCCATTCAGCTTCCCTCAAGAGCCTGGCCTGAGGGGCGAGGCCATTCCCCCCCCCCAACCAACAGTTCAGTCTGACTATTAGCCCCATCGCCCTCTGGCTAAAAGGCAGGGGCAGGCAGGACAACCGTCACCCAGGGAGCTGCTTAGTCACAACTGGGCGCTTGAGCCCCCCGGCAGCTGGACCCGGAGTGGGCTGGGGGAGAAGAGGCGGGCCTCCCGGCAGGGCTTGCAACAACTGGGCTCTGCTGGAAGCGGCCGGACCCGCTGCCACTTTGGCCACTGAAGACTGCCCTTAGAGGCCCCCTGCGCCCTTCTGGCAGGGTCCAGCCCCCTCTTGTCCACCCAGGTTAAAATAAAGCACGTCTGATACCCAAATATTTTTATTCCAAGCACAGAACTTGAGCTTCCTTGATCTGGAATTTGGAGAGAGGAAAAGTTTGCATAGATTACAATTAGTACTTCAGACTTCAGAGACCTGAGATCAAGTCCCACCACTCTCACTGACTCAAAAGCCAGCCTCTGGGCCTCAGTTTCCTCTATCTGTAAAATGGGTTGAATGGCAATTTCCATCACAGGCTCTTTGAAGAGACCATCATATACACACGGAGATCGGAAAGCAGGATGGCTAATTGGAGAAGAAAAAAAAAGGGGGAAAAAAGGCCACAAGTGAGAAAACAGATTTTAGTCGAACTGACATCCAGCGAAGGTCACCGAACACCAGGGCGAGAGAGGAGGACGGCCACGGGCTCAGGCGTCGATTCCAAGGGCATGCAGTCCAGCATTTTGCATAGCATCTTCACACTTGCCGGAGGGAGTCTTGCCTCGGGGCAGGAGAGTCTCCTTCGCAGATTTGGAGGAGGGAGGGAGGGAGGGAGGAGGGAGCCTTGCAGGAGGAAGGCAGAAATTAAGAGGCGGGCAAGGAGCAGCAGCAGCAAGCCCCCAACCGACAGGATCAACTTCCCACTAGGCTTTGTTCAAGGGAATTCGCCCAACGGGGCAACCGCCGTGCCCCAGCAGAGGCCGTCCCTGCCGACTGGCCAAGGGCCCCGCGGCCCCCAGGAGAGGGAGGGGCCGCACTGCCAGCACCACTAGGCAAAGCCCAGGACCCAGGGCTGCTGCAGCACATGCCCGGGCGCTCTCCGCCTCTAGCTAAATCCGCTTGCCCAGAGGACAGCAAGTGGAGCCTCTCAGAGTGGCCCTTGCTCACAGGGGCCCCAACTCCTCAAATGCAAAGGCCGCAATTCAGCCGATGTTTCCGGCTCTCAAAGGAGCTGAACAGAAAAGAGCCCCTGCCTTTGCCCAGGGAGCATTCCGACAACGCCCGCTCTCTTTGGAGCTTCCTCTCCACGGATGGGGGGCGGTCTTTGAGGGGGCAGCACTGGGGTCCTGAAGGGGGTGGAGTAACTGCATGAGGGAACCATGCAAGTGGGGGCTGGAACTGGTTTGGGATGGCTGACCGTCCTCGTTGTTCAGGGACAAAAGATGGCAGGACGGTGCCCCCCTCTTAACGGGATCTGCAAGCCGGCTGCCCCCCCACCCCGCTGAGGGTGCCTTTCAAACACTCTCCACTTGCCAGCCTATTTGGGGAGCTTTCCGAGCCTCGCTAGCCCCCCACCCCCGAGAGGGCGGACAAGAGATGGGGGTAGAAACGTTGCTGGATCTGAAGAGCCCCGACAGCCCGGAAGCCATTCCTGATCCCATTCAAGGTGCTCATGCGGATGCTGGGAAGAATCCACGGGGAGGGGGGAGGGGGCGCGGAGCCCCCCTGGACCACCAAGGCCTCCCTCCAGCTTCAGTTGGAAATGTGGCACGGAGACAGCTGGGACGAAACCCGGAAGAAACACAAGAGACCGTTCAGGAGGAGAGAAACTACCGACTCAAAGCTGTCCCGCCTGGGGTCTCTCTTGGTGTGGGAGGGGGGCGAGAGGCTTCGTTCGCAGAGGGGGCAGCCTCTCCAGCCTCGGCCCTCCCCAAGGGTGGGTCCCGCGAAAGCCACATCGCACCAGTTCAAAGTCTCGGTCGGGGAGGGAGGGCGGCTGAAAACAGACATCCAGGCTGTCGGGAGGCCCGCGGGCACAGGTGCCCACCCGCCCAGCAGGGCTCACTGCCCAGTCCCGTAGGGCCAGTTGAAGGTGCTGCCGGACAGCAGCATGTCTCGGATGAGAGTCTCGATCGGCGTCTTCCCAACCAGCCGCATGAAGAAGAGCTGCGAGATGAGGGAGGCCGGGACGGCCCGCAGCGCAGGGAGGCGCAGGAGCAGCCGGCCGAAGCGCTGTGGCTGGGAGGGGTACTGGGAGCGGACGTACTCCGTCAGCGCCACCTGCGCCTTCTCCTGGAGGCTTTCCACGTGCGCAGGGTCCGAGAGGCCGCAGGCATCTGGAGGGCAGAGGTAGAAATGAGGGTGAGCAGCAGCAGCAGCAGCAGCAGCGGCGGCGGCGGTCCCTGCGCGCCCCCAGCCCGGATCGCTCCCTCTGGCTGAAATGCTGGTGCTGCGGGGCTCAGCCCAGCCGGCGCATTGCTACCAGGTCTCCCTTAAAACTTTCTAGCCCCCGCGGCCCCGATCTGCTATTACGGGAGTGCGACTTTTCCACCCAGAAACCGGCCGTGAAGGTGAGTGGACTGGATTTCTGAATCCAACGTCAGGCTTCTGAATCAATCCGGGCAGTCGCTTTCCTCCAAATCGTTCCAGAGGCCCAAACTGGACTGCCCCTGCCTCGCACAATGGCACCGCTGAGAGCACAGAAGAAAAATAGCAATCACAACGGTCGGCCACTGGGACTTTCTGACTTGCATTGGCAGCCAAGAGGCGCCACGTCCTCCCCGCCACTGGGCCAGCCACCCCGGCTGCCTTATTCAGCTGAGAAGAGCCAAGCGGAGGGGGATGCCAGTCACGAAGGGCCAGGTGCATCTGCCAAGGAGGAAGCCCAGCAGTCCGGCTTGAGGGGGGCCAACTTGCACCAGTCCACCTCACTTGTCTTTGCTTGCCCTGCAGCTGGCCGGAGAAGGCTGCCCCTGGTGGGCAGGAAGGACCCGCAGGAGCTGCCCTGCCTTCCTCGCCCAGCCTGATCAAAGCACGCCAGCATTCGCTTCAACCGCCCTAAAGTCTCTGATGCAGCAGGAAAACAGCTTCTGGGAAGGGATATTGAAAGGGGCGTGCGTGCAGCTGAAGCAGGGCACTCCCAAGGGCTGCCTTCAGTTTCCCCCAAGATGCTGCAGGCCTGGCAGGCGCACAGAGAACTGGAAACAGGAGGTGGGCCCAGGAACACGCCAAGACAAAGCCTGGCACCCACCCTCAACTCTTCCAGGAGGAGCGCA